AACTAGGTCGTGCTTTCATAAATTGTTCTTTTTTAGATACCCAGTCGCGAACTTGTTTGGTTTCAATATTAAATTTAGCTGCTGTTCCATTTTTACTATGTCCCTTTTCATGATACATAACAACAGCAAGTTTTTCTCTTACATTCCATACTCTTCGTACTTTTTCTGATATTCTTGCACAGTTGGTATTTTTATTTATGCGCAGACCCATATTACTTATAACAAAGTTGTAAAGAAATGGCAAATTTATATTGTAATTATAAGGACAAAAAAAAAACCAAAAAAAAAAGGTTTAAAGTTGAAAAAAAAAACCAAAATTAAAATAAATAAAATTCTGATCGCGTTATCTGTGAAATTTGCGTTATTTGCGAAATTCGTGTCATTCATATCATATAACATATTATGGCTTTATTTCAAAGGAATGTTAAAAATTTAAAAATTTGAAAGTAAAAAAAGATGATCAACGATTATGATTAATATCCCCCTTTTGTATTCCCGTTGTGTAATATCCCCCTTATGTAGTACCTTTCTCCGAATGTAGTACCCCCAGGTACTATTCAAAATTAAGCTTAGTTTTGCTTGAATAGTACCTTTTTAATCATGTCTAAGATAGACAAATTCTTTGAACGTAAATCTACGAAATGGAACATTATAGATTTTCTGAACGAGTGCGATATAGAAACACTTGAAGGCAAGATCGATCATTACCTCAAATCATTGAGAGCTATTGTTGAACGTGAGGGAGGTGCCAATCAAGACAAAGCAAGGTATCTCCTTGATAGATATAATAAAGTAAGTAAAAATTCTTTTTTTGCTAGAAATATATGTGAAAAATAGTGGCGTGACAGGGGACCTCTTCGGTTCTTGTCATTCAAGGCTCTTCGCTCAGCCACAAAACCAGTACTGGGGCACAGGTGACCTCTTCGGTTGTCTGATGTTCAAGGCTCTTCGCTGACCCAGCACTGGTCCCACTGGGCACAGGTGACCTCTTCGGTTGTCTGATGTTCAAGGCTCTTCGCTGACCAGATTGGGTGGGAAATTGGATGGGAGTCAGGAATATGCCAGTTTAAATAATTACTAACATAATTCTCGAATTTTTTTATGTAAGGATAATCGACCTGGTCCTGATTACAAAGAAGCAAGAAATTGGGAGAATAAGCGTACGTCGGCCAAAGCAGGATCTTCGTTTCATTTTCACAACTCAACAATTGCCGGAAATTCTTTGGGGTGCGACTCTGGGGTAATCAATAATGTTAAATTTCCAAGGAAAAGAAGCCGGAAAAGAGATCAGGAAGAAGTATATATACTCGCATTTTCTCTAGAAGTTGAGAATCAGCAGACTAATCATATTGTATTTTAATACTTTAGGGCGATCACAAAGTACAGGAAAAAACGAAACGAACAATGGAAGATTTTTTCCCTCGTGATGTCACACAACCTCATCTTCAACACGAACAGACTCAACAGGCACATACTCCCGAACGACATATTGCTTCGGAAGATGAAGAGAAAAAAGAGAGTTTTCTTTATGATACTTTCCCGATTCACATTCATAAACGACCTGAGCCAAATCCTTTTCTAGTGATACAGACGAAGAGGATGATGGATTCGATGCAGATTTAACTATTGTCGGTGGAAAAAGCACCGATTGGATTATTAGTGGAATTAATATCAGAGAAAAGCTAACAAATTATCAACTTGAAGTAAATCCACCTAAAACCCATCCAGAATATTACGACATTATTTTTTCAATTTAAATGACGAAGATGGTTTTCTAAGAACATTAGACAAAGGTATTGTTGCGCAGATGCGTAAGGAAATAAAGATGGCAGAAGTAGACACAAAGAACCAAGAGATTAAATTATTTATAAAAAATATTATTGATCGCGATATTAAGAAGACTAAAGAAAATCTTAATCGTCGAGATGCTGAAACATTTGAAAAGAGATTCGCGTTACATTTTGTGAGCCATATGTAAATATATTTATTTGATTATTTGATTCATCGAGAAGTGTGATAAGACTAATGAAACCTACCTTATATAGGGTAAAAGTGATGGAAGATGTGAATTTGTTCCATGATCCTATGTCCGAGGGGACCTATATCATAAAAGTTCTAGCACCCATTCTTGACTACTTCTTTGACAAAAAGAAAAAGGATTGGCTTGTTTCATACGGAGAAACTTGCCTCAAGGCATGTGCGAAAGATGTTAATTCCAGTAAAAAAGATGACGAACGCCGATCTTCAGGAAAAAAGATTGATACTATTATTTGTATGAGAGAAGAAGATAAAGAGTTCTCAGTAATCGAAGTCAGTGGGCCCCCACTGAAAAATGATTGGACACACTTCATGGGTGATCGTATGAAGATCATGAAGATGATGAAAACTTTAATGAATCAATTCGCCAGACTCAATCCAAGCTCCGATATCACATTAGTCAGATTATTTGGGTTACAAGCTTATTGTAAGTTTTTAATATTTTTTGCATATTATTGTTATTATACATTGTTAACTCTTATGTTTTTTATAGTAAATGAGTTGACTATATACGAATTCAAACTAAAATATACCGAGGTTTACACTACAGAAGCAATACTGACATTTCCTCTACCTAAAACATGGGCAGATATGGCGAATGCTGATAAAGCTATAATGGGCTTGTTGAAGTATGAGGTTCGTATAAATGGATTTCAGAAAATGAATATGGAGAACACGAAATTAACATTTTTAATTTTTTTTAAATTAGCACTTATTATCTGAAAGCTCAAAAACTATACGAGATTTTTTGTGGGCTGGTGGTGGTGTGATTGAAGCTATTAAGATGACGACCGGAATGATTCACACTCCTGAAAGCAACAAGAAAGCTGAAAATACTACAAGTACCAAGAAAACGAAGAAAAGAAAACAGCACGAATCAATTGAGATTATATAGTGATATTTTATTCTGTAATTGAAGCTATGGAACTTATATAGCTAATTTGTATATTATTCTGTAATGCTAAAAATAAAGTTTCACCTGATTAGGCATTATTCTTTTTAATTATGATGTGATGCGTATATGCATTGGAAAATAAAAAATGTGTATGAGAATTTTTCCAGAATGGGTATGGATTCTGCGTTCCGAAATGGAACGTGCATGTGATTTTTAAAAAGTGACTTAGCATAGCGAACTATTCTCGCTCAAACTTGTATATCACAAAAAAATGAATCAGTTATATCCCATGTATAATCTTGTTAAAATCAATAAAACTGCTATAAATCATTAAATTGCTATAAATCTATAAAATCAGTGAAATTGCTATAAACTATAAAATGATTAAAACTAATTACTATTCTGGTTTAAATCCTGTAGTAGTACAGGCGTTGAACAATCTGCAATATAGGTATAGTGGTGAAACATCAGAAATGTGATGTTCTCGTGTTTGTTATTCATTTAAGAAACTTCTTGAATATAACCCAAAATACTTCTCCAAGAATGAATTTATCCAAATGGTTGAAAGGGAATATATAGATGGGGAATTTGGCGCTCATTTCATATTTATTGCACTGTATGTGACTCCTTGATAATTATTTGTGAAAATACCATTGAATGTGCTAATGATCACCTGAATAAATGTATTACTAAAACCGCTAAAATTCATTATAATCATGTATAAAAGAATACGAAAAAAGGAGGAAGAGTGGCATCGCTTAGTCCTAATGAGATTGAAGAGATTTATCTAACATATTCGGTTATGTACAGTAGAGGCTTGAATCATTATGGTTATGATTATTCACATGAAGGTAGGAAAACTCTTGCATGTCGCTTATTTAACAGTGCTAAACTTATCCAATAGGCTTGGCAGAGTTACAGGATGAGACCCAACTCGTTAGCAAAAATAATTTAGGAGACAGTGAAAAATGATAGTACTCCTGATGATAAGAAGTATTTAGGTATAACTCCTCATGTTGACTGGATATTTGATAAGAAATATCAATTATATTTGAGATTAGCTAATGTAACATATGATATTGTTTTTAAAATATTATACCAGTGAGGCTATAAAGTCATTAGAGATTCAGATTGGTCTAACCAGCTAAAGTGATTACAGAATTCTGAATATTATCGTATTGATAAAGATAACATTGAATATCTCATTAGAGCAGGGTTGGGAATTGTACTAGTACAGTACTAGTATGGTACTGGTACTTTCCAAATTTTAAAATTAGTACATAGTATATGTGACGTCATTTAATTTTGATTGGCTGCACTAAGTACTAGTACAATGTACTAGATTTTTTTTAGTATTAGTACAAAAATATATAAATCACGTGATTAAAACTTGATAATGATTTATTTATTTATTTTATTTATTCGTTAGAAAGGACAATGCAAATTATCTTTAAACATAATTTTTAAATCCCATTTTGCATTACTATTTTCTGCTGGATGATCAATACTTTCAACATCAAGACCTAAATTTAAATCATTTTCATTTTCATTACTTTCTTGAAGCATTTCTAACCATTGATCTAATTGATCTTGAATTTGTGATTCTTCAACATCATCATCAAAATCACTTTCATCATCATTTTCGCCTACTATATCAGTCTCTATATCTAATACATTTTCACCATCATTAGGATCTTTATTATGTTCATCTGGTAATTCTAATTCCTTTAATTTAACATTAATGTGAGCCATAGTTGAATTTGATTCTTCTTTACGCTGATTATAGGTAATACTAGCTCGTAATTTTGCCATATCTAATACTCTAGAAAACTGCATAAAATAAAATAATTAATTTTTAATTATAACAAAATTATAAATTTGAATCTTTTTATATTACCTTTAATCGATTTCTGTTTTTTGTGTGAAGAAATCCCATGCTGCTCCATAACCTTTCTACTGAGGCGGCATTAACACAAATTCCAAATAAATGCACTCTAACAGTTCCAATTTTTGGATATGCACTTCGAACCTAACACTAATATTTATAAATATCATTTCCAAATTGGGCAACAGATTCATTATTAAAAGGATATTCAGTTCCTTGTGAAAAATCATCAAATTCTGTAAGAATAGTTGTAGGATCATTTCCAGTCCAAGCTTTATAATAATAAATC